TTGATGTATCATTGCATTCTATTGGCCAATATTTTATTCAGCATTTTTGCATCTATGTTGATAAGATATATTGGCCTATAGTTTTCTATTTGGGTGGTGTCCTTTCCTGGCTTTGGTATCAAGGATATGTTTGCTTCATAGAATGAGTCTGGGAGAATTCTATCTTTTTCTATTTTCTGAAATAGTTTATATAGAATTGGTGACAGTTTTTCTCTGAATGTTTGATAAAATTAGCTAGTAAATCCATCTGGTCCAGGACTTTTTTTGGTTGGAAGTTGTTGTATTACCTTTTCAATTTCTTCTTTTGTAATGGGTCTGTTGAGATGTTCAGTTTAGGTTTGTGTCAGTTTAGGTAGATTGTGTGTTTCTAAGTATTTGTCCATTTCCTCTAGGTTTTCACATTTGAGTATAATTTTTCATAATATTCAAATGTTAACTTTTTCATTTTATTTGGGTCTGTTGTGATGTTACCTGATTCATCCCTTATTTGGATTATTTTTGTCTTCTCCTTTTTTCTTTTCTGAGTTTTGCTAATGGTTTGGCTATTTTATTGACCTTTTCAAAGAACCAACTCCTACTTTTGTTGATAGCTTTTTGTTTTTAGATTTTCTATTTCATTTATCTCTGCTCTAATTTTTATAATTTCAGGGTTTTTAGAGGGTGTTGGATTTTCTTGTTGTTCTTTTTCAATTTGTTGTAGATGTTGTGTTAGAGAGTCAATCGTCAATTTTTCCTGCCTTTTGATGTGTTTGCTTATTGATATAAATTGACCTCTTATTACTGCTTTGGCTGTTTCCCAGAGGTTTTCTAAAGTAGTGTCTTCATTGTCATTTGTTTCAAGAAACTTTTTAAAAATTTTTTTTTATTTTCTCTATGTGTGTACTGTCAAATTGGATCTGATTGGTACAGGAGGAGATGGCCCCTCCTTCTCTGGCAAAGCATCTGGTGGATTTGAACCACATATCTTTGGGATTGCAGTGCAGCTTCTTGCCACTAGGCCACCAGAACTCCCTCAAGAAACTTTTTAACTTCATTTTTTATTTCTTCTTGCACCCAGTCGTGTTCAAGCAAGTTGTTGTTCAGCTTTCAAATGTATGATTTTCCCCCTTTATTCTCTTTTTATTAATTTCTAATTTTGTGGTGTTGTGATCTGAGAAGATACTTTGTATAATTACTATGTTCTTGAATTTGTTGATGCTTGCCTTGTGACCTAGAACGTGGTCTATTCTGGAGAACGTTCCATGCACATTGGAAAAGAAGGTATATTGTGCTTTTTTAGGGTGCATTAACCTATAAATATCTATGAGATCGAGTTGGTTAATTGTGCGGTTTAATTCTTGAGTATCTTTATTGAGATTCTTCTTGGTAGTTCTATCTTTTCTTGAAAGGTGTGTATTGAAGTCTCCAAGTACTATAGTAGTGTTATCTATCTCCTTTTTCAACTTTGTTAATTTGTGTTTTATATATTTTGCAGGTTGTTCAGATCTTTTGTTCATAGGGTCGCTGTGAGTCACCTATGACTTGACAGCACACAGCAATGACAACAACAAGATACTAGTTAATATTAACTAATATATAAATATATAACTAATATATGTTAGTTAACATATTAATGAATATTAGTTAATATTAACTAATATATAAATATATAATATATACCTAATATATGTTAGTTAACATATTAATGAATATTAGTTCATATTAACTAATATCTATTAATATACAACTAATATACATTAGTTAATATATATTGTTAATTGACTGTTATTTTATGTTATTTCTTTGCTTCTTATAATAATATGTACCTCTGAATAGTCCAGCAGTCACTCATTCACTTATGCTATTGAGCTGGAACCTACTTATGGTGGACCCGCCATTGCATTTTCCAAGGCTGTAACTTACAAAGAAGAGACTGGTTTTCTTTCTCAGAGTGACTGGTGGATTTGAACTGCCAGGGAGTTGCCACCTTTGGATTAGTAGCCTAATTCCCCAGAGGCTATACAATTAGCTCCCTTATTCTAGCAATGATGCAACTGAATAAAATTACATTGTTTACTTAAAAAGGTGAGTAAAAGAGGTTGTTAAATCAAAGTTGTGATTTAAAAGCAAGAGTTTATAAGTGCTTAAATGGAATTAAAATATTTTCTGTAATATTACAGGAATGTCAATTTGAAAAGTGCTGTGATTATTCTATCTGTAAGTTAAAAGGCTCAGTACAATGTGGGTCTGGAGCATGCTGTACATCAGAATGTGAGGTAAGGTTCTTTAGTGATAAAAAGAAATTGATCTGATGTTAAAACTTTTTATTTCTTGAATTAGTGCTGAACTGATAAAAATAATGTTGTTAAGTGTCATATGTACAACAGCTCTGAACCCTGCTCTGTCCTGAGTCAACCTTAACTGTCTCTGACACACCTACCCTCAGTATCCCAGTCACTGAGTCAATCCATCTCTTCCAGGGTCTTCATCTCTTGTGCTGTCTCTCCACATTTCCAAGCATGATGTCCCTCTCCAAGGACTGGTCCTCCTTGCAACATGCCCAGCTTATGTCAGACAGATCTTCAGAATCCTTGCTTCCAAAGAATAGCCTGGTTTCACCCTCTCCAGGACAAACTTGTTTGTTCTCCTAGCAGTCCATGATATTATTCAATACTCTTCTCCAGTACCACAGCTCAAAGACATCAATTCTCCTTCTATCATCCCTGATAATGTAGAAACATGTAAAAAATTAAGTAGAATGTTAAAAATGTATTAATTTTCAAAAAGTACAAAATATAGAAACACACACATATGAAGTAAATATAAGAAAGACAGCTCTGATAGTGATTATTTTATAATGCTGAAACCATAAAAGTGACACCACATTAAATTATCAAAGTAAAAGAGAATAAGCATATATTTCCCAAAAATGACTAGAATGGAACACGGATAAAGAACTGTCAGAAATACAAGCAGTGTTTAGAAGAGTTTGGGGCATTAGGGATAGCATTGCTGATATCAGATGGATCTTGACAAAAAGCAGTGAGTACCAGAAGGATGTTTTATCAACTATGCAAAGCATTTTACTGTGTGGATTACCACAAGTTGTGGCTAACATGGAAAAGAATGGCAATCCCAGAACACTTAATTGTGTTCATGGGAAACCTAAACCTAGAACAGGAAGCTGTTGTATGAACAGAGGAAGGGAGCACTCCATGGTTCAAAATCAAGAAAGGAGTTCATCAGGAGTGTATCCTTTCTCCATACCTTTTCAATCTATATGTGGAACACATCATTCAATATAGACTGTATCTCAACATTAAGAAAACAAAAGTTCTCATCTTTGGGCCAATTTGCGGTATCATGATAGATGGAGAAAAAGATTGAGGTTGTTAACAATTTCATCTTGCCTGAATCCACAATCAACAATCTTGGCACCAGCAGGCAGAAATTAAAAGACAAGTTGGTTTAGGAAAATCTTCTGTCAAGGACCATTCCAGAATTCTAAAGAGCAACCATGTGCACCTAAAGTACACCTGATCCATTCATGATCTCAATTGCTTGTTATGCATCTGAGATCTATCTGGACAATAACTAAAGATGACAGAAGAAGAATTGATGACTTTGAGTTGTAGTGCTGGAGAAGAATAGTGAACATATCATGGGCAGTCAAGAGAACAAACAGGCCTATTCTGGAGAAGATGAAACCAGGTTGCTCCTTAGAGGCAAGGATTTTGAAGCTCCATCTCACATGCTTTGGGGATATTTGTTACCAGGCATGACCGGTCCTTGGAAAAAGACATCATTCTTGGAAGTATAAAAGGTCAGTGAAAGAGAGGAAGATCCCAGATGACATGGACTGACACAGTGACTATGGCAATGTGGTCAGGTGACGCTGGCACAGAATAGGGCAAGGTTCAGAGCTACTGTTCTTCATGTTGACTCATCACAAGTCCCCAGTTTACATGCTGAACATGTGAAATGGTTTCTCAGTATAGAATACAAAGTGGTTGGATAGTTGAAAACTTGTAAGGAATCATTTTCTGTACGGAAACATATATTCTCCATAATACTAGAATACCTTACCTGATAGGGTTATTTTGTTTGCTTGTTTTTTATTTTTTTTTCTTCTTCACAGAAATACCAGCCTTGTGGTTCCTTGAGTTATGAATAATCAGGAAGTAATTTTTAAGAATGGTAATTACTACAGCTCATTGTCTCTTTTCCTTCTAGTTAGCAGTAGCAGGTACTCCATGTAGAAAGAGTGTTGATGAAGAATGTGATTTTACAGAATATTGCAATGGGACTTCTAGTAATTGTGTGCCTGACACTTACGCACTGAATGGCCATATGTGCAAACTGGGAACTGCATATTGTTATAATGGAAGGTGCCAAACCACTGATACTCAGTGTGTTGAAGCATTTGGGAAAGGTATTGTTCTTTATACATGCATATTTTATATAAGATTTAAAACTATAGATTACAGTACCTACTACACAGCTCTATAAATGGAAGTACATGAACCTTAACGTTAGCAAAAAAAAATAGTGTAAAAGGATATTGGTTTTGGTAGGGACATTGGTGATATCCATGATAAAATTATGTTTTATATTTATAATATATTTTTTGTCAAGTATTTAACTGGATTCATAATTAACACTCTTAGGAGGTAGTAGTTTTGCACTGAAACAGATGAGGGAGTGAATAATTTAAAAGCAATGTATGATAGGGTATTATGGTTTTCATAAGAGTCCACAATTAAGGTTGCATAGTGGAATGTACTTGGGGCGGTGGGAGGAGTGCGGGGGGATTGTATACCAGGGAAGGAGTGTTTCTTTTGCTTTTGAAAGAGAGGAGCGAACAGAGGAGGGGGGGAGGGCTGGGGGGGAAGTGCAGCAATGAATGAATGGAAATCCAAAATCTCTGTAAATGCTCATTAAAATTATTTCTTTTTTTAAAAAAAGGCTTATTGACGAAAAAAAAAGAAAAAAAAAGAAGTTAGTAGTTAGGAAATAAAAACGTGTATGTTTCTGGTATTTAACTATTAGGCCAAAAATAGATGATTAACAGTAATAATTTATATGGAGTTTGGAGTAACATATTTTGAAATTTTACTTAATTCTAACATAGTTTTAAGTTTTACTTGATTTCTTTTTATATTCCAATTTCATTATATAATTTTAATGACGTCATCAAATATAGTCAAAAGCATTTAAAACATAATCAATTCCCTTTTTTCTTTGCCCACACCAACAAGTTTATTAGGGTCCTTATCTCCCTTTCAATTATTGAGATGATAGTTTCACCATTTTTAAGCCTTAATTATTCTCTTTAAGCCCCTAGTAATAACTTTCTTATCACCTATGCTCCAATGCGAACATTGTATTTTTCCCCATAATATCTTTTTAATATTGTATATTTTTAGGCTTTTTATTTTTTTCTTTTTTAAAAAAATTAATTTGTACTACAACACTACATTTCATTTCTAGGTACCTGTTCCTACATTTAGTGAAATTCTTCTCCCCCCAAAATGACCAATATGTCTGCATAGAGCTTCCTAAATATATTCTGGTACTCAAATTGACAGATGGTTCTCCACTTAAAACATTGATGACACAACATTAGAAGATGAAGACACTATAATATTTTTTTAAAATGGGCTGTTTAGGTGATATACCTTGAATCTTTTATCAAGGAGAGCAAGAACAAGTCACAAGGTCAAATCAGATATACCTTGGACAAGTTCTCTGAGTGTGACAGCAAGTTGATTTTAATAATAACTTACTGGAATCTGCAACCTTTACAATGTCAAAATCAATAATGCACTGTGATCTTATTTTATTCTGCCTTTGGTTATTTTTCTCTTTCTATTTGTATTCACAGAGGTACACATGAAAATACAATCATGATACTCAGTTCAAGATCACCATTATTTTGATTCTGTAATAAAACTTTTATTACCCTTTTAAGTATAGCATTTCCATTTGCATCCAGAATGATTATTTACTGCCATATTTTCATTCTAAGGCGCTAAAGCAGCTCCATTTGCCTGCTTTGAAGAAGTTAATCCTTTGCATGATGGATCTGGGAATTGTAGTTCTAAGGATTTAAGATCGTTACCTTGTGAACAGAAGTATGTAAATATGTTCATTTCAAAAATGTACTGTTATTTTATTGAATAAAAACTATGTTTCTTGTCAAGAGACACTAAATAGTGTTACTTCTAAGTGTAGCAGGCTAATATTCTCAAATAGCATTTCCTCTTGTGTATCAATTGAGAATTTTCTTTTCCTTAATTTTCCCTGATATCTTTTTAATAACAGCAATGAGAACATTGTGCTTAGCGCCAAAGGTGAACAGTGAGTTATGCCATTGTTATTGTCATGTGCCATTAAGTCAGAGGTGACTCATAGCTGACTGACTCTCCAGCAGGTATTCAGACACTGTAAATTACCAGAAAGAAATTGCCTATCTTTCTCCCCAGGAGCAGCTGGTGGATTCAAACTGCAACTCTTTGTGTTAGGCTACCAAAATCCAAGCAGTGGATACAAACTGGTGTGTGGGGAGGGCGGTGGGGAAACACAGGCTCTTCCTCTATCTTTGTTGTTGTAGTTGTTATGTGCTGTCAAGTCACCTGCTAGCTTGTTGTTAGCTGCCCCATGAAATTGAATTATTCATGGTGCTCTTATATAAAACAGACTAAGATGCTGCTGAGTCTTGTATCATGCTCACAATTAACCACCATGTTTGAATAGTCATTGTTACAATTGCACCAGTCACATCAGAGATATCTCTTACCCTTACTAGTCCTCTGTTTACCCACTATTGTTTTTCCTGAGTGATTGATCCCTCATGATGATTTAGCCAAAACAAATTAATCAAACAATATTTTGTTGTGATTCATAAAGGTTTTGTTCTCTGATTTTTAGAATTAGACTCCAGGACTTTTTCACTAGTCAACCTTAGAAAGCACCACAGAAACCCAACCACAATGTGCAATCATTGGTATTATCAATGCTAGTATCATAGCATCTTGTTTCATAGTAATATATTTGCCAGGACAAACTGATAGATGGGTGGTAAGCCACTAAGTTAAACTCTGGATATTAGGCTTAAGATAAATTTCTTGACTAATGGATAAAATTTTCTAAGGATAAATTTTTAAGACAATAACTAAGAACAATATTTTTCATTGAGGATGGGGTTTGATCTATTTGATGTTTTTCAAAAGTAAGTTGTGACAAGTATTATTTTCCTTCAACTAGTTTGGAAAATTGTTAGGAGGAGCTATTCCTTGGAAAGGGATATAATGCTTGAAAAAGTGGAGGTTTCAACAAAAGGCAGGAAGACCATACAGGGGATAGATTTATTTGACTTTGAAAATGGATTCCAGCAAGTCAGAGATGATATGGATAGCACGGGACAGGACAGGGTTTAGATCTGTTGTTCACAGGGTTGTGATGAGTTGGACTCAATTCAGTGACATATGACAACAGCAGTCTAGAAATTTGTAAGCTTACATTTTAGCTGACTAAGTAATTTATATCTATATAGATATAGTGTATTTTTAATTGTCCTACAGAGGGATCTAAGAGTTTCTAAATTTGGGGGAGTGGGAAGATGTACAAGTATTGACTATAAAAGTTTAGTAGAGAAATCCTAAGATAAGAATATTGAGCTCTAGTGACCTAATGGGTAGGGAGTGTCTCTGTGTCAACCCAAAAGTGAAGGTTCAAATCCACCAGCTGCTCCAAGATAGAAAGAATAAACAACCTCGCATGTGATTTATAATATTTGAAAATTCATTGGACAGCCAACTATGAGTCAGTTTCTATTCAACAGCAATTGAGCATGAGAGTAGGATCAAAATAACCAGTTGGAATAGCACAGAAATATACTGAGAAGAGATCATGACAAGGACCACCAGAATAATTAGAAAGGGCTTAAATAATAAAAAAATGGAAAATTCAAATAGCTACTCTTTGTAAATGCACAATAATTAATAATCATACTGGCTAAGTTATGTCAAAATATGGGCAGGTGAGGAATTCTCCCCGAGAATATGCTAAAGTGCAGTAAGTTCTCTAAAATAGCTGGAAGTTAGAGAAAAATGGAATTTTAGGAAAGGAACATAATCGTGTACATCTAATTCAGTGTATCCCTTATAATACTTATAAATGCTAATTATTTGAATTGCATTTGATTGTTTGCTACAGTATTTTTATTGGATTTCACTTTCTAAAACATTAACATTGATTAAACAATGTTGTTGTTGTTGTTGTTATGTGTCGTCGAGTCATTTGCGACTCATAGCAACCCTATGTACAACAGACCTAACCCCTGCTCTATCCTGTGCCAATCGCATTGCCTCTGACACACCCATCACGATTACCCCAGTCACTGAATCAATCCACCTCATAGAGGGTCTTGCCCTCCTGCGCTGTCCCTCTACCCTACCAAGCCTGATGTCTCTCTCCGAGGACCTGTCTCTCCTTACAAAATGTCCAAAGTATGTCAGATGAAGCCCCAGTATCCTTGCCTCCAAGGAGTAGCCTGGTTTAACCCTCTCTAGGATGAATCTGTTTGTTTTCTTGGAAGTCCATGGTACATTCAGTACTCTTCCCCAGCACCACAGCTCGAAAGCGTCAATTCTCCTATCCTCCCTATTCATTGTTCAACTCTCTGAGGCATAACAAGTGATTGCAAAAACCATGGCCTGTATCAGACAGACCTTAGTCTCCAGAGAGACACTGTTGCTTTTGAGTACTTTAGAGAGGTCCCTAACAGCAGACTTTCCCATGGCAAGGTGTTTTTTTTTATTTAAACAATTTAATTTAATTTAAACAATACTTAGATTATTATCTAAGTGAGACTCACTTGAAATAAGGAGACATTAAAACAATGGTAAGAAATCTGTTTTTCCTTTCTAGGGATGTTCTTTGTGGAAAATTAGCTTGTATTTGGTCACATGAGAATGCTAATAAAAATGATAATCCAACTACAGTTTATTCATATGTCCAAGGTCATGTATGCATGTCCACAGTGATTGGGTCTTCAGTGAGCTCTGATGGAAGGGACTATGCCTATGTAGCTGATGGCACTGCATGTGGTCCACAAATGGTAATAAAACATGCTATTTTGTACTTAACTGTGTTAGGTCATAATAGTGATAAGATATTATATTCTGTGTTGACTACTAGAATCATAGATATCTCTGCTACTTAAATATTTTACATATAGTGAGAAAAAGAAACTAAATTTCAGGTATTAAAAGATACTTTTAAAACTGGGTTGAAGGGTTAGAAAAATTGCAGCAGCACAGAAGCAAAAGTAGTTTGACTGGACCTGTGGACCCTTTCAAATTCTGAAAGATACACTAATACACAGAATAAAGTGCTCTAAGAGACAATGGTCATGTAATATATTAACATTCCCAGGATGAACATTAATGATCTACCAACATCTTACTTAGGCCACATGATATAAAACATAGAACAGGCATAATATGTGAAAACCAAATTGTCTGAGCCAAGAAACTGTAGTGTATATCTCTATCTATATCTCTCTCTCTACATATACAACTAATATTTATATTTATACATAAAATATATATCTACAGTCATAAATTAGTGTTCAATGCCTCAAATCTGTTGCTGAGATAGTTTTAAATTCAGGTGGGATAGACTCAAGGTCAAATTTTGGTTCTAGTGTACTTGATTTTATTTTCCTTAGCTTCAGCTTGAACTTGTTATGAGTTGTCGAGTCACCTGTGACTCATAGAGTCCCTATGTACAACAGCTCTGAATCCTGCTCTGTCCTGTGCCAATCTCATTGTCTCCGACACACTTACCCCATAACCCTAGTCACTGAATCAATCTACTCATAGTCTTCCTCTCCTGCATTATCCCTCCACCCTCCCAAGCATGACATCCTTCTCCAAGGACTGGTTCCTTGCAACATGTCCAAAGTAGTCAGAGGAAGCTTCAGAATCCTTGCTTGAAAGGAGCAACCTGGTGTAACCTTCTCCAGGTTGAACCTGTTCATTTTCTTAGCAGTCCATGGTATATTCAATACTCTTCTCTAACACCACAGTTCAAAGGCATCAATTCTGCTTCTATCCTCTCTAGTCATTGTCCAGCTCTCTGATGCATAGCAAGTGATTTCAAAGACCATGGCCTGTATCAGATGCATGCACCTTAGGCTTCAGAGAGACACCATTGCTCTCCAATTGCAATATGTCTTTTTAATTTCTTGGCTGCTGGTGCCAAGAGTATTGACTATGGAGCCAAGCAAACCAAAGCTGTTGACAATCTCAGTCTTCACCATCCATCCTGATGCTGCCAATTGGCCCAGTGGTGAAAATCTTTGTGTTCCTGATATTGAGCCTCCATCCGTGTTGAAGGCTGTAGTCCTTGACCTTGTGCAGCAAGCACTTCAGATCCTCCTCAGTTTCAGCAAACACAGGTAGAGTAAAACATGAGGAATGAATTTTCTGATTACACACTTTCAAGAGTATAGATATTATATATTATAAAGAGAAAGTTGATTTTTCATATGTGAATGTTAGTGGCTAGAAGAGCCAGGGAGTGGACTCTGGGTGTCTAAGGTTTGTTATTCAAAAGAGTCTTCCCTAGCCAAAAGGTTAACTGTTTTATGCTGATGTAATTCTTGTTTTCAGGAAAGAGGATGCTATGTGGATAGGTGAGAATATGCAAATAGGGCATGTTGGCCAGTCTCAACATTCTACAAGGGAATTGGTGAATCTTAACATTTTACAAAGGCTAGTCTCATTATTGACTGAGCAAGCCAGAGTGAGAGACAGATATTTTAGGGCCAGTGAAGAGAAAGCAAGACAATGCAAGACACGTTTCCTACTTCAGCTACACCTATGGCAGCAAACACCTAAGACCAAACTGGAGACTTGATGTGAGATGAGTGAGACCTTTGGGATGGGGTGAAATCCAATATGGGCAGAAGTGAGAACTTGGGAACCACTTACCTGAAGGCACAAGGCTTGAGACAGAGATGTCTGTGTACACATTAAGGAGCTTTCTTCACTGCAATATGTTATTAATTTGGATTATAATCTTATTTTTTTAGAGTGAAAGTTACATTTTTGTTAGAATTTTTTAATATTTTTTCTTTACTTTTAAAAAAATTGCTTGCTTATAAAGTTCTGTATACATTGTGTTTCACACTATTCATTCACACTGTTTTTCATATAATTCTCATGTATTATGTTTCATAAAATCAATCACCACAGGACCTTGCCCATCATTACCCTTTTTTTGTTCAAATCCTTTCCATTTCCCTGACCTCCTCTCTCCATACACCAAACTGTGCAACCTGTTGGTTTCATCCCTACCCACCCTCACCCCTCATACCAGCCACCCTCCCTTGAGTTCCCATACCTGTTTTAATAGTTATCCTTCTATTTTTACAAAAGTGGTCCTTATGAGACTGTGTTAGTTTACTCAGAATAATACTATCCAGCCTCTCCCAAGTTACATAGTATTTTTAAAAATCATCACTCTTGTATGCAGCATAATATTCTATTGTGTTAATGCACCACAATTTCTCAATCCATTTGGTTGTGGTTGGACATTTGGGCTGTCCCCATATTCCTGTGATGGTGAACAATGCTGTCATGAACATTGGTGTACAAATCTCTGCCTGTGTCTCAATTTCAACCTTCCTGGTATACACTCCTAGAAGTGGAATAGATGAGTCATACAGAGTTTCCACATTCAACCTTTTGAGGAAATGCCAAACTGTCTTCCAGGGTGGCTGCACCATCCCACAATCCCACCAACAGTGCAAAATAGCTCCCACCTCTCCATATCCTCTCCAACATCTGCTGCTTGCTGCCCTACTAAACTTTGCCACTGCCATTGGGTGAGACGGCACCCCACCATGATTCTGACTTGCATCTCTCATTGCTAGCGATTTGAGCATTTCTTCATATATGTTAGCCACCTGAACTATCTTTTAACTTCCCCAATAGTGTAGTCTGTGAGCTCTCACATTGGATTTTGAGCCCAGTAAAACAGTAAGTTTGGTGTTGGGATGAGAATAAAAAGGTATGGGAGTGTGAGGGGCATGTCGGACCTCATGTGAATTGGGGTTTTTTTCCTGATGCTGTTGAGGGGGACAGTTCCCTTTGTGACATTGATGAAGGTCAGACACGGCAATCCCCATGTGGCCTTTGCTCTTTTACAAGACTTCTATCTCTGGTTTGTAATAGTTAATTAAGGTATTTACCATTCTGTCACACTTTTCTTAAATAATTGTGAAAAATATACTTTTTTAAATTTTAGTATTGTTTAAATAAAACCTGCCAAGAAGTCAGTTTAATTGAATATGACTGCAATCCAAATATAAAATGCAAAGGGAATGGGGTAAGTAACTTTTACATATTAATATATATATTAAAAAATTATTTATCACTATTAATTATGCTTGGAAGGGTGGTGGCACAGCTCAGGAGAGGAAGACCCAGGAGGAGATGCATTGATACAGTAAGTGAGGCAATGTGAGTAGGTGTTTTAGAATCAGTGAGACTGGATCAGGACAGGGCAGGCTTCAGAGCTGCTGTAGCAGGGTCACTATGAGTGGCAGGGAACTTGACAGCACACAACAACAATACCACAGTTACTTCAGGCATATTGTCAGCTATGTCATTTACTGTTCTTAAGTCCTGGAGAAAAAAAAAGTCCTGGAGCAAATTCCATCTACCACTGGGTTGTTTTACAACTCGGAAGTCTGCTTGGTCAATTCCAACAACTAAGAAATAGTGAGAAGAGTTGGGACCTCAGAAGGCGTTTAGGACCTCTGTGTCCAGGAGAAAACTAATATACTTACCCATGTTAATGCTCACCCATGCAAAGAGATTTTGTGTGTTGGGAAGTGTGGGGATGGCGCAGGATAGAGCAGGGTTCAGATCTTTTGTTTATAGGGTCTCTGAGTTCTTCTTAACTCTATGACACCTAACAACAACAACTTCCTATTTTATATAGATTTAAAAATGTAAAAAAACCCCACAAAAACCCAAGCCAGTGATTTTATACTGTATAATTTATGCATTTATACTTTACACAAAACTAGTCTCAAATTCACTGACAATGAGTCTGACTGACACAAGAGTGATGGCCAAAATTAGGGTTTCAGAGGCGCATCTTTCTATCACCAAGCCACTGGTCGAGTGGAACTGCCAGTTATGACGTGCAGCTCCCTACGGAGTGAGCTACCAGAGCTCCCATTTCATACAAATGTTAGGATAAAATTTTACGCCAATAATAGTTACTATGTTTCCCCCCCTGTTTCAGGTATGTAATAATCTTGGTAATTGCCACTGCTTTCCTGGCTATAAACCTCCAGATTGTGTATTTCATATTGGTTCACCAGGGGGCAGTATTGATGATGGGAATGCTCAGAAATCTGGTAAGTAAAAAGATAACTTTGAAAACAAAAGAAAATGTTGTTTCTTAACGAGAAAAGTTTTAAGCAAAGGACGAGAAATTAATATTTGGAGGAGTACAGGTTTTTAAACGTGGCCACGCCTGTAGTACAGCTTCCACCAAAAAAGAACTGCCTGAATGTTCATGGAATGGAAAATCATTTTAAGGATCCCTGACAGCACTATCACACCAGGCCAGTGACATACTAGCTCCTCCAAAGTGATGAGGAAATTAGTCCCTTGAAAATTTACTTTGCCTTTAATACGTGATCACTGAGTTAGGATCAATGTTTTTTCAATAAGCATTCTAATAAAAAGTGGAATTTCAATAAATTTCTTTAGGGGGAAAGAGAAAATATTGTTTTATATGAAAGAAATATTAAAAATATACTGCTGAACCAAAGAGCTGTATTTACTAGTGGATTTATGTAAATAATGTTATATAATATTTGAAATGTGATTTTTCTCACTAAGATTTTACTAATAGGTTAAATAAATTAGATTTTCAAGAATTTCAAAAAATTCAGACAGATTAAAATATAGAAAAAAAGAATACAACATTTATACTGTATTTTAAATTTTGTAAATTTTTAAAAATCTAAAGTGGTATATAAACTATTCTGACTGAAGTTAATAAAACATACATGGCAAAATATTAGTATGTACTTATTTTAAATTAGTAGTTAATCAGTTTTTTAAAGTGATAAAATACATGCTTATATTTTCCATTTGTTCCCCTAAAACAATATAGACTAATCCTGGCCAAAACCTGGAAACAACCCACCAGAAATAGCAATTAATAGATTAAAACCAAACAAGTGTAGTATGGTATATTTTGTTGCTATGTTGCATCCTGTCATGTTATAATATGTTAAGTGCCATCAAGTTGACTACAATACATAGTAATCCAGGAACAACATATTTAAACCATGTCCTAGCCTATGCCGTACTCAAAATCTCCACTACGCTCAAGCTCATTGTTGAAGTCAGTATGTCACTCCATCTTACTGATCAGAGCTACTGATCCTCTGAGTTTCCTAATATGGTATATTTTTTCAAGAATGGTCACTCCTCACAACATGCTCAAAGTTTTTGGGACAACATTTCATAATACCTTCCTCCGTGGGACACCCTGGTTGCACTTTCTCCAAGACAGATTTGCTTGTTCTTTTAACAGTCCATGGGATAGTCAATAGTCTTCACCAATACCACAGTTCGAAGGTAAAAGTACTTCTTTCTGTGTTCCTATTTCACTGTTCAACTTTCCCATAAAAAGCAATGTAAAATATTATGACTTGAGTAAGGCACACTTTAGTCTTAAAACTAACATTCTCGCTCTTTAGCACTTTAAAGAGATCCTTGATAGCAGGTTTTCCTTAACACAGCCAATTTTTTTATGTCTTGACTGATGAAAGCATGGATTGTAGATCCAAGTAAAATTAAATTCCTCACAGTCTCAGCAATTTACTGTTGAATTTTGCTTTAGTTGCCAATGAGCATTATAAATAATTGCCGCAAATGAAGCAGAGTGAAAGGTGAAGTAAACCTTTTTTCACAAGACATACAACTTGTGAGTCTATTTATCACTCAGATTCAGCTAGTGTAGTCAAATAAAGTCTAGAAAATGGAAAATAATTTATGACAGAACAAAAAATAATAACACTGTGTGGGGAAGTGGCAAGATAGCAGAATCAGAAGGAGCAAGAGAAAACGATATTGTCATTGATGTAATCATTATTTTGGTTGTTAGTTTTATGGATATGGGCATATTGCTGTTGTTGGGAGCTGTTGAATTAAATTGAGTATGATTTATATCAACTCCATGGATAACAGATCTGAAACCTATTCTGTTCTGTGCCATCCTCATCATCTCTGACACACTTTAGCCAATTGCTACAACCATCTTTATTTTTTTAAAATATTTTATTAATTTTAATGAACATTTACAGAGATTTTGGATTTCCATTCATCCATTGTTGCACTTTTCTCCCTGTGCCCCCCTCCCCAGTTCGCTTTTCTCTTTAAAAAGCAAAAGAAAAACTCCGTCATTGGTATACAATCCCGCCATGGTACAACCATCTTATTGAGGTTCTTCCTCTCTTTCTGTGGCCCTTCACCTTTCAAAGCATGGTGTCCCTTTCCAAGGAAGAGCTTCTCCTAGCAACACGCCCAAAATAGGTGATATGAAACTTTGCCATCCTCACCTCAAAGGAACATTCTGCGCTTTTTCCAAGACTGTTCTTTTGGCAGTCCATGGGATACACAACTCAAAGGCATAGATTCTTCTTCTGTTGTCCTTATTCATTGCCAAAATTTAGATGTATAGCAAATGATTGAAAAGACGAAGCATATGAATCAGGCATAGCTGAGTCTTGATTTAGCATCACTTTTCCTCTGTACTTTGGAGAGGTCCCAGGCAGCAGACTTTCCCAATGCAATACATTCATTGATTTCCTGACTGCTGGTATGAAGGATGTTGATTATGGATACAATTTTAAATAATTGGCAATTTCAATCTTTTCACCATCTATCATGCTGTTCTCTACTAGCCGAATGGTGGGTATTTTTGTTTTCCTGATGCTTCAAGTTCTTCTCATATTCCCAAGGAATGTTGTTTCATATACATAACACAAGTTGTTAAGTCCTTCTCTGATCCTAGTGCCTTATTCTTCCTCATAAAATGAAGCTTCTCATATGTTTTTCTCAGTATACTGATTAAAAAGGTAGGAGAAAGGATACAACCCTGATGCACACCTTTCCTGAGTGTAAATAATGCACTGTTGCTTTGCTCTGTTCACACAACAGCTTCTTAGTCTAGATATGGACTTCATATCAACATAATTAAGTGTTCTGAAATTTCCATTCTTCTCAATGTTAACTATAGCTTCTTAAGATTTACAGTCAAATGCCTTTGTATAGTCAATAAAACACAAATAGACATTCTTTTCGTATGCTCTACTTTCCCCTAGAATCCATTTGACATGAGCAATGATATCCCTGGTGCCATGACCGTTTCTAAAGCCCAGCCTGAACTTCTGGTGGCTGCCTGTTAATATACTGTTCTGTCTGTGGATGACCGTCAGAAATATTTCACTTGTATGTGTCATTAATAATATTTTTCTATAATTTTCATATTATACTGAATCACCTTTCTTGGGAATATGAAAAAAAATATGGAAAATATGGAAAAATATGGTCAATCAATTGACCAGACAGTTATTCTCCAAATATTTTGGAATAAACTGGAAAGCAGCACATCCAGGGGTGCATCTGTTAGTTGAAACATGTCAATTGGTATTCCATCAGTTCTTGGGGGCTTATTTTTTGCCAATGCCTTCAGTGCAGCTTGAACTTCTTTCATGACTGTTGGGCTCTCATTTATATGGTACTTCCTGAAATACTTTAATATCAATCAATCCTTTTAAGTACAGTAACTCTGTGTATTCCTGTGTATTCTCTGTGTAATGCTGCCTGGATCATTCAAAATTTTGCCTATAGCATCTCTTAGTATTCCAACTCAAAGCTTGAATTTGTCAACAACATATAGCATCCATCAAATTTCAATACAATTTCAATATGAGCAGTTAATGAGATATCAATGAAAATATTAATATAATAAAAATTTATTAATGTATAAATAATAGCCGCAATATTTTGTTGCCAAGTCTTAGGTAATAATAAACACTTTTCATTATAGATAAAATAAAAAACAGTATTTTATACTAAAATTTCAAAATATCAACATAATTCAAACTCATTGATATCAAGTTGGAACTGACCCCACAGCAGATTTTTTTTTACACTGTAAATTTCATGAGAAGCAATCATCCATCTTTCTTCTGAACAGTTACTGGTGGGTTGGAACTGGTAGAAGGGTGTGTTCTTTGGATTACCTGTGCAACTCCTTATAAACGGCATCACAAGAATTTTCCCTACCTCATTAGCATAACAAAGACAAACTAGTCAGATTAAAGGAGACTTACAAGAGGTTGATTAAGCAGAGATAGAGGAATAGACTAATGAAATCACATGAGGATTGTTCAGGAGTAGAAATTCATTGCTAATTTTATCCATTTTTCTTAATTAGGTAATTTGACTTTAACAGTATAAGGAATTAATAAAGAATATAACATGTTTATTGAATGTCAATGAGAGGAGACACATATATAAACACATGCACTCATTTACCATTATATATATATGAAGGATGAGAGAAGAAGAATTGATGCCTTTGAGTTGTGGTGCTGGAGAAGAGTCTTGAACATACCATGGACCAGCAAGAATATAAATTGGTCTGTCTTGGAGATGGTGAAACCAAGTTTTTCCTTGAATGCTAGGATTTTGAAACTCCATCTCAAATACTTTGGACATGTGGCCAGGAGGGGCTGATCCTTGAGAAGGCAGAGTAGAGGTACAGCACAGGAGAGGAGGATCCTGGGTAAGATAGATTGATACAGTAACTCAGTAACTAGGGCAATGGAGATAGGCATGTTGGTGTCAGTGAGACTGGCTCAGGACAGGGGAGGCTTCAGAGCTATTGTCCATAGGGTAGCTATGAGTCACTGGCCACTCAATGGCACATAACAACAACAACTATGTGTGTGTGTGTGTGTGTGTGTGTGTGTGTGTGTGTGTATATATATATATATATATATATTACTATAGTACTCATGCATAGATGAAGAGGAAGTCATTTAAACAGAAAGGGATATTACATGGTACAAAATAAGGAAAGTTTGTCAAATTTCTGTCTTTATAATTGTACCTATTCAACCTCCTTGCTAAAAAATTATCCAAGAAGCTTGCCTATATAAAGGAGAAATTATCAACCAACAGGATTGGAAAGATATATTAACAACGTGTGATATGCAGATAACACAACCTTATTTACAGAAAATGATAAAGACTCGAAGCACTTGCTGATGAAGATCAAAGAGTAAAACCTTCAGTATGAAGTATACCTCAACATAGTGAAATAAAAAATTTTCACAATTGGACTAAGAAATATCATAATACATGGAGAAAATGTTGATTTGAAGCTGCTATAGATTTTCTTTTATTCGGATTCACAATCCAATCATGGAAGCATCCATAAAAAATAAAAAAAAGAAGTCAAATTATCAAATCTGCTGTCAAGGACCTCTTTAATGTGCTACAGAGTAAGAATATCACTTTGTAGACTAAGATGTGCCTGATATAAGTGCTGGTATTTTCAATAGTCTCATATTAGTGTAAAAGTTGAACAATGAATAAGGAAGATTGAAGAGTAATAGATGCCATTGGTGAATTGTGGTGCTGTTTAAAAATACTGACTTTATGGACTGCCAAAATAACAAACAAATTGTTGTTGTTGTTATGTGCCGTCGAGTCACCTGCGACTCATAGCGACCCTATGTACAACAGCCCTAAACTCCGCTCTGTCCTGTGCCAATCGCACTGTCTCTGACACTCCCATCCCAATTATCCCAGTCACTGAATCAATCCACCTCATAGAGGGCCTTCCTCTCCTGCGCCGTCCGTCCACCCTCCCAAGCATGATGTCCCTCTCTAAGACTGGTCTCTCTTCACAACATGTCCAAAGTAAGTTAGACGGAGCCTCAGAATCCTTGCCTCCAAGGAGCCACCCGGTTTAACCCTCTCCAGGACAAATCTGTTTGTTTTCCTAGCAGTCCATGGTATTCTCAATACTCTTCTCCAGCATCACAGCTCAAAGGCATCAATTCTCCTTCTATCCTCCTTGGTCATTGTCCAACTCTCTGATGCATAACAGGTGATTGCGAAGACCATGGCCTGTATCAGACGCACCTTAGTCTCCAGAGAGACACCACTGCTCTTCAGCACTTTGGAGAGGTCCCTAACAGTAGACTTTCCCATGACAATGTGCCTTTTAATTTCCTGGCTGCTGGTGCCAAGACTGTTGGCTATGGAGCCAACAAACTAAAGCTGTGTACAATTTCAATCTCTTCACCATCCATCCTGATGCTGCTGATTGGTCCAGTGGTGAGAATCTTTGTCTTCTTTATATTGAGCCTCAATCCATATTGTAGGCTGCAGTCCTTGACACTCTACAGCAGGTGCTTCAGGTCCTCCTCAGTTTCAGCAAGAAGGGTTGTGTCATTCGCATAACGCAGATTGTTGAGAAATCGCCCATCAATCTTGACCCCACATTTCTCCTCATAGAGCCCAGCCTCCCGGATAATCTGTTCTGCATATAGGTTGAAAAGGTATGGAGATAGGATGCATCCGTGGTGTACGCCCTTCCCAATTTTGAACCATGCAGTGTTCCCTTGCTCTGTTCTGACGACTGCCTCCTGGTCCAAGTATAAGTTGGAAAAAAATTTAGCCAGAAAGCCCCTTACAACTGAAGTTGGGAAAAAATTTATCTTACATACATTAGTCATTTTACCAGCAGTGACCAGTCCTTGCTGAGGTAGAGTCAGTGAAGAAGAGACTATCATCAAAATGAAGTGACACAATAGTTGAAACAGTGGGCTCAAGCATTGAAGTGTCTGTAAAGATGCAGAGGACCAGGGAGTGTTTCATTTCTTTGAGTATAGGGGTCACTGTGAAGTTAAACTGAAATAGCACCATAAAAAAAAAATCAAGAGAAAATTTTATATGCTTAAATTACAAATACTCAGTTGAGAAATGTCTTTTAGTAATTATATTCCTCCAAAGAGAGAAAACACTTAATTTGGCATAAGAGCAGGAAGGGGGCTTCTTGTGATGTTATTTTCTAAATTATTTAACATAACTCATATCAACATATTGCTCTTTCAAACACTATGTTAAAACACAAGCTAAATATGTTGTTGTTGTTTGTTGCTATGTGCCGTCGAGTCGCTGCAACTCATAACGACCCTATGACAACAGCCCTAAACCCTGCTCTGTCCTCAATCTCACTGTCTCCGACTCACTTACTGGCATTACTCAAGTCACTGAATCAATCCATCTCTTAGAGGGTCTTCTTCTGCTGCACTGTCCCTCCACCATCCCTAGCATGATGTCCTTGTCCAAGGACTGGTCCCTCCTTGCAACATGATGTCCGAAGTATGTCAAATGAAGCTTCAGAATCCTTGCCTCCAAGGAGCAACCTGGTTTAACCCTCTCAAGGATAAACTTGTTCATTTTTTAGCAGCCCATGGTATACTCAATACTCTTCTCCAGCACCACAGCTCAAAGGCATCAATTCTCCTTCTATCCTCCCTAGTCATTGCCCAGTTCTCTGATGCATAGCAAGTGATTGCAAAGACCATGGCCTGTATCAGGCATGCCTTATTCTCCAGAGTGATACCATTGCTCTTCAGTACTCTGGAGAGGTCCCTAAAAGCAGACCTTTCCATTTCAATATGTCTTTTAATTTCCTGGCTGCTAATGCCAAGAGTGTAGACTGTGGAGCCAAGCAAACTAAAGCGGTTAACAATCTCAATCTTTTCACCATCCGTCTTGATGCTACTAATTGGCCCAGTGGTGAGAATCTTTGTCTTTTTGACATACAAAACAATTAAAGAACAAATTGTTAATACATAGGGCTGCTATGAGTCACAGGCCTCTTGACAGCACATAACATCAACAAGTACCATAGTAGTTAAATCCATATATTTGTATCAATAACAAATAGAAAACCTGTGAAAAGATATCATGGTACCTTTCGATTATAAGCTGAAATGTCTTTTTAATTTTTCTTTAATGCATTAAAACTTTAAGTATATTGCATTACATTATATTTTGAAAATAAAATTTAAAGTTAAAAATTCAGAGGATAATGCTTTATTTTTGCTTCTTTTCTAGATATATATATTATTAAAAAGAATAACAGTACACATGAGAACTGGTTTATTCTGAGTTTCTACATTTTTCTGCCCTTTTTCATCACTTTCATCATTATAGTCTTCAAGCAGAATGAAATGACAAAAATCATGGACAGAAAGGAAGAAATATATGAAAGGTAAATCTCATTTGTGCAATTAATTCATTAGTTCATATTATGCTAATCATAGATAGGTTCATCTATTTACAGTTATAATATTTGTTATATTTGTACCATGTGTATCATTAGTGCTTATGAGTCAGCTCTTACTCATAGTGATCTAATGCATAACAAAAGCATTCCAAATCTGGACAGCTTCATGATCCTTAATAGGCCCATGTTGTTATTGTTGTTATGTGCCGTTGAGTCACCTCAAGTCATAGTGTACAGCAACTCTGAACCATGCTCTATCTGAAGCCCATTTCACTGTTTCTAATACACATACTCCCAGTACCCTAGTTACTAAGTTAATCCATCTCTTTCAGAGTCTTCCTCTCTTGCACTATCCCTCCACACTCCCAAGCATGATGTGCCTTTCCAAAGACAATCCCTCTTGGTGACATGCCCAAAGTATGTCAAATGGAGCCTCAGAAACCTTGCCTTTAAGAAACAGCCTGGTTTCACCCTCTCCAGGATAAACCTGTTTATTCTCTTAGTAGTCAATGATATATAGTCAATGCTCTTCTCCAGCACAACTCAAAGGCATTAATTCATCTTCTATCATCCTTAGCCATTATCCAGCTCTCTGAGGCATAGCAAGTAATTGCAAAGACCATGGCCTGGATCAGGCACACCTTAGTCTCTAGGCTGACATTGTTGCTCTTAGGACTATGGGTAGGTCTCTGGCAGCAGATTTCCCCAATGCAATTCATTGTTATATTTCCTGTTTGCTGATACTAAGAGTTGTTTGTGGAGTCAAGAAAGCTGAAGCTATTAACAATCTTCATCTCTTCATCATCTATCATGATGCTGCCAAATGGTCCAGTGATGAGAATCTTTGTTTTCTTAAAGTTTAGCAGCTGCAGTCTTTGACCTTCTGCAGCAAAAGCTTCAGGTCCTCGTCAGGTTTTGTAAGCAAGGTTGTGTCATGTGTATAATGCAAGTTGTTAATTAGTCTTTCTCCAATCCTGATACCACGTTTCTCCTCATAGAGTCCAGCTTTCTAGATGATCTGTTCTGCATATAGATTGAAAAGGTGTGGAGATAGGACACATCCCTGGCATACACGCTTCCCAATTTTGAACCAGGCAGTGTTTCGTTGCTCTGTTCTGATGACTGCCTCATGGTCCAAGTATAGGTTTCGCACAAGCACAATTAAATGTTCTGGAATTCCCTTTTTTCTCAGAGTTGGTCACAGTTTGTTGTGATCCACAGTCAAATGCCTTTGCAAAGTCAACAGAACTCAGATAGACATTCCTCTGTTACTCACTGCTTTCAGCTAAGATCCATTGAACATTGGGTATAATATCCCTGGTGCTATAGCCTTTTCTAAACCCAGCCTGTGAAGCTCCAGTAATTTTTGAACAATTTTCAGCAGGATCTTGCTTGCATCTGATAGTAATGATATTGTCTGATAATTTCCACACTGTCGGATCACTTTTTTTGAATGGGAATAAATATAAATATCTTCCAGTCAGTTGGCCAGGTAGTTGTCCATGAGATTTCTTGACAATACCAGGTGAGCATGTCCAGGGTAGCTACAATGTATTGAAATAGGTCAATTGGTATGGTATCAAATCCTAGAGCCTTGATTTTAGCCAATTCCTTCAGAGCAGCTTGAACTTCCTCCTTCATCATCATAGGCGCTTGATTATATGTTGTTTCATGAAATGTTTCTATGTTGGCCAATTCTTCTAGGTATAGTGCTTCTGTGTACTTCTTCCAGCTTCTTTTAATTCTTCCCTCCTAAGTATTGCAACTAGAGGCTTGAATTTGCTTCAGTTTCTTCAGCTTAAGAAATACTAAATTAAAAAAAATAAAAATTTTTTAAAAAAGAAATATTAAGTTCATCCCTTTTGATTTTCCAACCCCAGCTCTTTGCACATTTCATTATAATACTTTGCTGTCTTCCCATTCTTCCCTTTAAAATATTCTGTTCAAGTCCTTAACATCTTGATTTCTTCCCTTTGCTTTGGCTTCTTGGTGCTTTAGGGCAATATTCAGAGTCCCTTCTGACATCCATTTTGTTCTTTTCTTCATTCTCTTTCTTTGTAATGACCTTTTGCATTCTTCATGAATGATATTCTTGATTTCCTCACATAGTTCATCTAAGTCTTCACTCATTAGTATTCAAGGCCCCAAACCTGTTCCTGAGATGGTCTTTAAACTAAGGAGGGATATGCTCAAGGAAAACTTTGGTTCTTGTGGCTCTGATTTGAACTTACATATCAGTACTTAATGATCTGTTCCCCAATCAGCACTTGCCCCAGTTTTCAAAGCTGATATTGAGCTTCTCCAATGATTTTTCCCACAGATGTAATCAACCTGATTTCTGCGTAGGCCATCAGGTGAGGTCTATGTGTATAATCATCATTTGCATTTCTTATAAAGGTATTTGTAATGAAGAAATCACTGCTCACTGCTTGCACAGAATTTTATCATTCTGTCTCCAGCCTCATTTCTGTCACCAGCTACATGTTTCCCAACTATGGATCCTTCTTTCTTGTTCCCAACTTTTGCATTCAAGTCACACAATTTTATTACTGTATCTTGGTTGGATGTCTGATAGATTTCTAACAGTTGGTAGGAGTAATTTACTTCCTCCTCTTTGTCTCTGGCTCTTGGTGCTTAAATTTGAACCATAGTGATATTAAGAGGCCTTCCTTGTGTATGTATGGATATTATCCTGTCACAACATTGTATTTCAAGATAGATCTAGAAATGGTCTTTTTAACTATGAATGTGACACCTTTTTTTTTCTCACCTTTTCATTTACAGTATAATAGATCACTTGATTATCTGATTGAAAATGTCCCATACAAATCCATTTCATTTTGTCAATGCCTACTCAATATTTATGCATTCCATTTCTTCCTTAACCGTCTCCTATTTTCTTATATTCATACTTCTCATTTTCCATGTTTCAATCACTGAGGTCCCTTTGCAACTATTCCTCCTCCTTTGTGATTCTCAATATGAAGGCTCAGCTTCCTGTGCTATATCTGCTAGTCTAATCTATTTGACAGATAAGCATTTTACTCAAAAGAGCTGATGAGATTATGCAGGTAACAGATCAGGTATTGATCCTGGGGTCCCACTCCTTCGACTCATGTGTTGTGTTCCCATCCTCACCCTGCACTTCCAGCATCCAGCTGAATTCCCTCTCCTTACCCTTCCAGCACCTCTCCTCTCTGCCCCCATCCAACTCTGGTTTGATGGCTCAGGTCTTCCACCGCTGTCTTTTTCTCTCCTCTCACCTGTGATATTGGTTCTTCTGGCAGAAGGGTGGCAAAGCAGTGTCTACACAGCAGGGAAGGTCTCCACACACTTTTGGGAGCTGGAGTCCAGCAGGAACTGGGATTGTGGTTAATATGTTAATCCATCCCCTTGAGAGTATCTCTTGTTTTCATTGTCTCTCTTTTTATCAAACATGATGTTATTTTCTCATAATTAACCTTTCCTGTTAATGTGTCCAACAAGAAATAAAATAAAGTTTTGACATTCTTGCTTCTAAAGAACATCTTGATTGTATTTCTTCTAAGATTGATGTCTACTTTTTCATTTGGTTTTATTTTAAATATTTATTTTCTATTGATTTGCTTACCAACTTTGTAGACATTGTTCACATTATCCTTCATTCACATTGTGTTTCATACAATCATTCCCATTCATTATTTTTTATAAAATTAATCATCATTCAGCTGTATGCTTGATTGTTTTTGACGTTTATAGTTCATGGAATATTCACTGTTCTTCAATAACACTGCAATTTAAATGTATAATATTTTTTCCTTCCATTTTCATTTTCAATTTTCACCTGTACCTGAAATGATTGAAAATATCATTGCTTGAGTTGGGAACACTTTTATATTCAAAATTATGTCTTTCCTTTTTGAAATTTTAAAAGAGCCTTTTGCTGCTTTCATGGATATTGGTTGTTTTATTTTTTATTTTTTTATTCAAGTAGAAAGACATACTATTCTTTCCATTTATCATTGGTACACTTGTGAAGGTTTTTTGTTTTCTTCACATTCAAGTCATAGTCTCCACTTACTGTAATTTCAGTAAGTGCCTCATGTCATCTTTATTTTTGAAAAGCAAGTTTATCATCTGCGTATTGCAGGTTGTTAACAAATCTTCCTCTAATCTTTATGCGATTTTTCTTCACACAGTCCAGCTTCTTGGATTATTTTCTCACCATGTGATTTGAATAAGTAAGGTGAAAGAGTTGCACCCTAATAACAATTTAAAACCACACAGTATCCTATTGTTCTTTTCAAATTACTGCCTCTTGCACTACTTGTATTTTTCTCAATGTACACAATTATGTATTCAGTAGTTCCTATTGTCAACAGCTTCATCTTACTTGGATCCACAATTAACACCCTTAGTACCAGCAGTCAGAAAATAAGGAGACACATTGCACTGGGAAAACCTGCAGGTAGGACTTCTCCAAATTATCGAGATACTAGTAATGATGTTAGTTTGAGGACTAAGGTGCATCTGATGTAGGCCATAGTCTTTCTAATCACTTGCTATGTATCTGAGAGCTGGAAAATGAATAAGGATAACAGAAGAAGAATTGATGCCTTTGAGCTGTGGTGTTGGAGAAGAGCACTGAATATCCCATGGATGGCCAAAAGAACAAACAAATATGTCTTGGAGAGGGTGCAGCCAGAGTCCTTTTTGGAGGCAAGAATGATAAGGCTTCATCTCCATGCTTTGGGCATGTTGCTAGAAGGAGCTATTCCTTGGAAAGGGGTATGATGTTAGGAAGGGTAGAGGGTTGACAAAGGAGATGAAGACCCTCTACCAGGTGGATTGACATGATCGTTGCCTCAATAGGTTCTTGTATGTCAGGAAGGGTGAGGATGACACAGGATATAACAGGGTTCAGATCACCTGTTCATAGGGTCTCAATGAGTTGTTCTCAACTCAGCAGCACCTACCAACAACAATCTAACAGTTCCTATCACTTTTTTT